CTGAAATATAATAGAATGAAGATGCACAAATCTTTGAATGAGATTATTGCTTACATTTATGTCTGAATGTCTGCAAGCCGCACGGTTAGTGTCTGTATAGTTGAAGCAACTAGATGAGTTTAAAAATTTGTGTTTGACAATGTCTTCGGTCTGTATGGTGGAAAAAGAAAGAGTATATATTTATATAGAAGAAAGCTTTCTATATTCTTCTCCTTTCCCTTCCATCAATCTGTTTCTACATTCATTTTGCTTATGTTCGCTACAACAATTACTATGGTGAGTGGTGTATATACACCTAGATAAACAGTGGCGTTTCTTGTATCTAAGTAGTTTATACGCAGATTTTCTATTTTGAAAATATTGAACGAAAAGACCAAGGTAACGTATATTATTTTTAAATACGAAGAGTTGTTGTGTTTTGTTTTTCTATGAAAAACATCTGTTTCCAAAATATTCTTTCGTTCTTTGTCTCTTCTGTTTAATAAAAAGAAAAAAAAAATGTTTAAAAAAACAAAAGCTATGTCAAAACGAAGTTGTGGTTGTTTTGCCTGATGCAAATAATTTCTTTGCTATCAAATCAAAAGAATAATACATTCTGCCCTACGAAAAGAGCAATACAAATAATTAAGTTAGAGAATTATTGCTTCTAAAGAGATGGATTCCTTAAGAGAGTGTCCCTGACGGGCATCGAACAACTGGAACTGTTTTTATTGAACTTGATATCTCATTCAATTTTCCGTACAAAATTAGGTGCGTTAAAAGTGTTTTCGTCTTTAAGGTCGCCCTATTTAGAAAGTTGATTTTTGTCACAAAATTTGATTTTGAGATAAGCTCATGGTTTGGTTGCCTACTTTGAAAGTTCATGAAAAATAAGTCGGTAAAAAAGGGCTTTACCGGTTTTTTTAAAAAGTTTTCTACCAGCCCGTTTTTAAAGAAATAGGCCTAGATTCTTTTTTAATAACTTGATAGAAGACAGCTGAAGAGTTGCGATTTCGCGATTTTGTAATCAGGAGCTCCACGCATGTTTTTATAGTAAAATAAGTTTGAAATCTTTCAAACAGCTGTGTTTTTGAGAGATCTTTGAAATACCAAGATGTTTTATGAAATGTTTTTTCCCACTTTCCAAACACGAACTCTACAAGAAATATAGTTCAGGATGTTCTAGCTATATAATCAAGCGAGGGAAATATTTCGGCCTTTGCTCCAGATAAATAGCCTGAAAAACCCTCGTCAAAATGGGAGCCATCAATGAAAAAAAATTTTGCGTCCGAAAAGAATTCTTTGCAGGTCGCGGTCTAAAAGACATACGGGCGACTAAGTTAGAAAATACAGTTCTCAAGTTTTTCAGATACAAAACTATATACTGTTTCCTGTTTTACAAGAATATTCGTTTTGTTACTCCGATTTTGTAAAAGTGCGCTTAGTATAAACTTCTGCAGAATCTGATAAAAACTGTTCTCATAGGTTCTGTTTTCTTGATAGAATAATGTAATTACTTACTAATTAGTCAACAGTCTCAATTACTAATTAGTACAATCTATGTTACAGCTAATTGATTTCCTCTAAAACCGAAAACATATGGAAACACTAGAAAATTATTCGTCGTTCCGACTAGTGGCGTAGCCAGAGTTTACATAGTGGGTGGGTGCTGCCACCCAGAAATGTTTAGAAGGTGTCGAAAGTATTGTGTTTTTGTTCCATAAGAGATGATCCATAATAAAAAGCGAAGGAAAGTGCAAATAAATCAACTCTTTGCGTTACATCTAGTATAAATGGTAACGGGTTGATCTGTTTTTGAAATTTCTGCTTCGGAATTTCGGCAGACCATCAAAAATAATATCTTGACTTAATTAATTTAATATGGAATAAATTTAGCAACATTACTCAACATGTATGAGACAACAGAATGTTCTCAAGCAAACATCACCTGTGGGAAAAATCTAGATACATTTCGTCTGTGATCGGGCGTTACAGGACTAGTTGTCATCTAGATGGTACTAGTTGGAAAAGGGACTTTTAACTAGATGCATCTGCATGTGTAAAATATCTGGCGACAAATCGATAGTTGCAGCTAGAAAAAATCTAACAATCGCCCGATTACTCTGTCGCCGATCTGCTGTCGTTACTCATAGTTCTAAACGAGTAAAAGTCTAGTAATCTAGATGAATCGGGCGCTGATTTTGACGCTTGGGTTCATAAAGATGAAGAAAAATCCTAGCAACAAATATTATTGTCAACAAAGTATGAAAGCAAAAACTACTATTATAGATACTGCCGTCTTATAATAGGAATGTTATAAATAGGATAAGTGAATAAATAACTGTGACTCCTCCTATCAACAAACACTAGTTAACATTCAACATCAGTAGCCATTATTATTAACAACCACTCAAAATAAATAAATCACAGCTGGTAATAAAATAATTATGACAAATAACAGTATACGTTAGCTATTTTTGGTTCTCCAGACGAGCAGCCATCTTTTTCTCTTTCGGTCAACAATTTTTTTGTCCTATATTTTTCAAGATTCTTGTTTCTTGCTTTTTTGGACAAGATTCTTCTCTTAATGTCTTATTGACTTTTCATCTTTTTTCGTGAAAGATTTTTGTCTGAAATGGCGATTATAAGATTCGTTGACGATAAAATCGCCAATTTGTTTTGTCGATTCCCGTGCTGTATATAAGTTTTATGATATAACTCAGTAGTATACATAGACATATAAAAATTCTTTTAAATCTCACAAGATTCTTGTCGAGAGACAATTACACGACAGAAATTTCAGTCAAGAATCTGGAGATAAAAAGATATATAAATTATTTAACAAAATTCTTGGCTGAAATGACAAGAAACAACGATCTTGCAAGAAATCTGACCAGTGTTGTGTATATATAAACACACCTGATCACTTTCTTGTCTATATTCTTACCAGACTCTTATTTCCTTTCATCTCAAAAAAAGTTTGTCTTGCACATTAGGCAAGATTCTTTTGCTCGTGTTCAACCGTTTTTTCAACACTGTTTAATCAGTACTAGGGAAGTCAAAAGAATTGAAAGGCGACTAAGTCCAACCGAAATTTGACAAGTTCAATGCCATTGTATATTGCTAAAAACTTCGTCATTAACTCGAATATGTGCATGGTTTCTAATCAACCATGGTTGAAATAGTTTTCCGGAACAGGGGGAAACGAATTACTCTGTTTATATATATCGTTGTCAAGATATTTTTCTGTTCTCTTTTCTTCTCACGACACAAAGTACAAACAGTTCACTTCTCTTTATTTGAAAAAATTTTCCACAATTTTTACTTTTGGCTACAGAACAGAAGAACAGAACATAGAAACAATAAACATAGAAACAATTTGTCTTGTTTCATAACAAATTTATATTCCATTTTCATTGTCTATAAATAGTCTTTTTCTCCATCACTCCATTATGATTTGAACTGACAGAAACAACAAACACGAGCCACTAGAGGTCACCCAGTCAGTCATAGTCATTCCAGAAAAGCGCAGGAAACTCTATTTACGAAATTTTTTACCCGTTTAGCGCTAGTTTCGAATAATAATGCACAAGAAGCTGCGAGTGTGTAAAATAAACCGCAGGAACACGCGTGTAAACCCTTTGTTTCCTAAGGTTTATTTTTACACACTCGCAGCTTCTTGTGCATTATTATTCGAAACTAGCGCTAAAATTTTTCGTAAATAGAGTTTTCTGCACTTTTCTGGAATGACTATGACTGACTGGGTATTAAAGGCCTAACCCAAATTTTTTGTCGAAATTTCCATGATACCATTATTTTTGGGGAAATAATTGTTGAAATTCCCAAAAAATTACTACAAAGAGCCGGTATATCTATATGCATTTCTGCTGTTGCACAAAAGCTGTCGAAATGCCAATGCAGAAATTACAAAAGCAGATCGGGGAATAAATGATGTAAACTTTCATATGCTAAAATACTCAGTGGGTGGACTGAGCCCACCCGTTGGCTATGTCACCAGTGTCGACCGCTGAAATCGGGTAACTCTACTACATCTATAATCAAGGTATTGAGCAATGAGCCTGAGATAGCTTCTGCCGGGATTCTGGCTCAATACCTTTGAAGTACGTTATCTGTCCACTGGCTGATTGAGCCGCGTTGCAATATATAATGATTGTAATTCAGCAAAAGAAAACTGACCAAAAAGCCTAGCTAGGTAGGCTTGCAAAATGCCTAGTGAGCTATTCGATGTTCGATTCGTGTTTATCATATTTAATAGTCACATTTAGCTCTAAATATGTCTAATCTAATTTTTTATATGCAGTTTTACATGGTAAATCAGAATAAAATACTTTGAAAGATAAAAAGAGCAATAAATTTGAAAATTTGGCTTGTTTTTGAAAACTTAGCATTTTCTTAACAAAGGTTATTCTTGAATATTTCTAAATTTTCTCGCATAGAAATCATTTGGAAAAATGAAAATTGATATTTTCCTGACCAACGCAAGGAGCTCTATCCAACTGTGTGACAAAAGAACAAAAAAGCGGAAAGCATATTTTTTCGTTTTAATTGCTTTGCTGAAGATATCGACCTCAAAAAAGGTGTCTGACAATGGTGTAAAAAATAGCTATTAAAAGAGAAGAGTTTGGTTTACTTGGCGGTTTTTCAGACATCGGTGAGACTCTGATCGGCGAAAAAATTCATAACCTGGGAACCACGAGGGGTCCAAAGTACAAAAATCTGGATGTTTAGGTTTTCAATGATGAAGAATCGAATGAGACACTTTCTAACCAAATCAATAGTGCGGTACTTGTATTCTGAATGTAATATAAAAGCTCATCGTTGCCGAATTTTGACATTAACATTCTTGTGAAAACGCTTTTCGAACATTGCCAGAATGCTGTAAAATGTCTGAAATGTGTTTATTATTTTTATTAACAGGAGCATTCGCTCAAAAGACGTGTTTTGGAACATGATGTTCAGGTAGTTGATTTACGACGTTATGGAGAATATGTATGCCATCGTCAATCTGTCAAACTGCATTTGCCAGAATAGCCTAATCGTAAATTTGATTCTTTTTCATCATCTAAACATTGTTTATTATGTTTTAGTTTTGACAGTTTATTGAGGATTAATTGACATCGTGCTGTTGAACGTAACTGAATTTGACTGTCTTCATTCATCGGAAAAACGCGAATTTTATGTGTATCTTTTCTTGATTTTTTGTCGGTTGGCAATGATTTATTCTGTGCTATCTGGTCATTTGAATCTGACAACACCGTTTCGCCTAAAATGAATTCAGAGGTAATTGAACATAAGCATCTTTCAACATATATTAATAACATATATACCACATAATTCACACCGAGAGCAGATTTAGCAATGGGTTACGATGCATTTTGAACTAAACTATTGCTAGGTTTATCGTTGCACGCTCCAATTAAATACATACGGATCAATTTATATTCATTCTTGACTACTTTGATTTGAAATAAATGTTGTTGTTCTCCAAGTAATAATAATTGATTAATAATTGGTTTCAGTAAAATCTGCATGATTGCGCGACCTGGTTTTTTATAACAAGAACAAATACCACCAACAACAGCGTTCTGAATTTGAAATCGTTGTTTTCTTTTTATTTCATTTATTGCACAGGTAATTAGCCATAATGATTGTTCAGTATTGTTGCCGATGGCAACACGGTCAACATTTATCATTAAAGTCACTACACTCTAAAAAAAACGTGTTTTTCGAATTTTCAGAAAACTGGTTGAAGAACTCCGTTGAGTTCTTTGAAAGTTGGAGAAGTGAATTTCTGTTTTTTAACAAAAAATGAGTTTTTCACTCGTTCC